AAAAAATTATGTGCATTTAATGAAAAAGATACCATAATTTTGATATAATCAAATATAAATTCAAATCCTTAAACATGACTGAAGTTGTAATGATTTTAAAAATAAAACTATTATTAATCTTATAAATACTCATCTACAAAATAACAGGATAGAATACTTCCCAACATATTTGATGAAATCAGCATTATCTTGATACCAAAACCAGAAAAAAATTACATGAAAATTAATCACCAATCTTTCTCATCAGCATTAACATAAAAATTGTCAACCAAATATTGGCAAATCAAATAAGATATAAAAAAGATATAAAATAATTGTTCATAATTAAGTGAGGTTTTATTTTAGGAATACAAAGTAAAATATTTTTAAAGATATCATCAGATTGTTATGCACTGAATAACAAATAATATCAAAGAAGAAAAGCCATACAATCATTTTAATAGATGCAGAAAAAACATGTAACAATATTTACCAAAAATCCATTTATGAAAAAATGATAAATTAGGAATAGAGAAAACTTCAGACTCTTAGAAAACATGTAGATATATTCTAAAGTAGTAAAAGATCAAATATTTTCCATATAACATAAAAAATGAAGAAAAAATATTCATTCCCACTCAATCTTGTAGTTTATAACTGGAACAGAAAGAAATAGAAACAAAAAACATACAGCTGAAAAAAAGCCTGTAATCCCAGCATTTGGGAGGCTGGGGCAAGAGAATCACTGAGAGTTTGTGGACAACCTAGGCTACAAAGTAAGTTCAAGACCCACCTAAATATACGGGGAGGGGTTGCCTCAAAACAACGATAAAAAAAAAGACTGAGAAGAAATAACACTGTTTCTATTTGCAAATCACATGATATAGATTTGTGTGTGTGTGTGTGTGTGTGTGTGTGTGTGTGTGTAGTACCAGCGGTTTGAAATTGGGACCTTGCACTTGCCAAGCAGGCATTTTTGCCACTCAGTTTTCTCTCTGAGCGGATACAGAAAATTACTATGTAGAAAACTCCAATGATAAAAGGAATACTAGAAATCATATGTGTTTAAGGTAATTGTTAAGATAAAATGTCAAGATACAAAATTCAATTGTGTTTCTAATATAATAGTAAAAAGAGTCAAAAGTTGAATTAAAAATGTCATATACAAAAGTAAAAAACACAAAATAGCTTGCTTTCAATTAATAGTTCGGTATGGTGAAAACTATAAGATGACAGTTAAATAACACGTTTAATAAAATGATATGTTCCTAATTATTGTAAGACAGTAGGTATTGGTTTTGCCCAAATGTTATGTACATTCAATGTGATTCCAAACAAAATATGCCAAAAATGTTTTTTGTAGAAATAATATGATTCTAAAGTCAAAGAAAGTATAATCATCAAAGTGATTTCAGAAAACAAAAAATAAAGTTGGAAAACTCAAAGTACCTAGCATTAAGTCTCACTTTAAATGTCACCATAAGGTTATTGTGGTATTGGTGATAAATGCACACCTATCAATGGAGCAATATTATTAGAGTCCAGTAGTAAATAAATACATGATCAAACTGTTGTTTTTTTTTTAATTTAATGGATTTAGTACAGGGTCTACAGGGTCTCACCACACAGACTGGACTTGTAGTAATTTTCTTGTTTTCAGCCTGCCAAGTGCTGGGATTGCAGACACATGCCACCATGCCCAGTTATCAATCACCATCTCAATGTGCCCCAGGGTGGGGTGGGCAGGGAAGGCCTAGGATTGAACCCTGGTCCCTGCACCTGCCAAAGCAAGTACTTTAGTCCACTGAGCTATCTGGCCTGCCCTCAAAAACTGAGTTTTTTCAGAGGAGGACAATCACAGAGAAAGCAATTGTAGTTTATTTTTACAAATTTAGTGAGACATAATTCACAAATGTTAACATTCACTCATTGCAAATGTACAGTTTGATAATTTTCTGGAATTTATACAGCTGTCACAATGCTACCATCATCTAATTTTAGAATAGTTTCATCACTTGAAAGTTGCATCATGCCAATATATAATCGTCTTGCATCCAGATTCCCTGTAATTTACTTTATGCCAGTGTGGATTCTTATTAGAATTTTCATTAAATCAAATTAACATAACATTTACTCTTTTGTGTATACAACTTATCATTTTTGTGAGGATAATAATTATTCCATATATATAAGTCGTTTCTTTTTTTTTTTTGTGGAACCGGGGATTGAACTCAGGCTCTTGCGCTTGCCAGGCAAGCATTTATTCCACTGAGCCATCTCCCCAGTCCCATTTTTTTTTTTTATAAGTTGTTTCTTATTGCTTAATAGTATCTTATTATATGGATATATTTCACTTATTCACTGACCATTAGTGGACATTTGGGTTGTTTTCAATTTGGGGGTAGTACAATAAAGATGCTATAAATTACTTTGTATGTTTATATATTTTAATCATATCCCTATATGTATTTTTTAAAGTTATTTCTGAAACATTTTTCAGGATAAGGTATGACTTTATACAATCTATAAAATTTTACTTTGTTTTTACAATGTAATATTTAGTTGGAATAAAATTATATATAAAACACAGATTTAATATATAAAATACAATTGTAGTGAAACTAGTCAACCAACAAACTAATATTACTGTATCTTTATATGTGCTTTTCTTGATTCCATCTGTCTTCTTTGTCACAAGAAGTTAGATGATCCTGAAATTTTTTAAATCATTGTATTGCTTTGATAATACTAACACTTATATGTGTATATTATAAACAATATAATGAATTTTTTCAGGGTTAAAACATTTGTATATTAAATTTTTGACAGTCCAATAATTAAAGTCATTTGAACAAAAGAAAAGCACTCTGGTTAAGCTGTATCATAAAACCTAGAAAGTACCTTATAGCAGCTTGGACTATATCGTAGATTTTACCATCATGCAGTCCAATTTCATGATTCACCTATAGGCAAATTCTTTTTTTTTTTTTCCTTGCTGACCAGAAAAGGAAATGAGAGAAGGAAATGTCTTCATTGTCAGTAGTTCTCAATTCTTGTATAACAAAGGTGCAGCTTGGTCATTTAAATGAAAGTCAAGCAGGTAAAGTAAAACAAGGCCATGCTTGAGGAATATAGTGTGCATACTGGCAGCATACACCTCATTACGATTCTCTTTTTCCTATTCAATCATTTCTTTTGAAGGTAGAGGACTATCTCCAGTTTTGCCTATGAAATTTCATGGGTGTGTCAGACTTAGTAGGGAGGAAAGGATAGCAAGGTGAGTAAGAGGAATTTGGTCTATACAGTAATCATCTCTATATTGCTCTCTTTTACTGCTTTTAAGACTTCACTGCCATCATATTATGATGTACAGAAATTAACGAAACAGGTTTTGCTCATGTCGGATTTAAAAAATTCATATACATTTTTGCTTGTACTTCATTCATACAAGTTTTAATGTATAGCATTCTTCCCAACATAGATATTCTTTGGTCCTTGAGTAATTATGACTTTTTCCTTTCCACTTTCTTTTGATATTACAAATAATACAGCTATAAAGAACCTTATGTACATTATTTGTTATTTTTGCAGAAAGTTGACTTGGTAGACATTAGGGAACGAAAATAATCAAATTTAAAAGAAAATGTTAAATTGTTCCAAATTTTAAAATGTATACTTTCATTTATAATATAGGATTTTAATGACCTATACTCTTTGTAGCACTTGTTTTTAACAAACTTCAGGAATAACATATTGTGATTTCAAGGGAAAATACCTAGATCCAATAGCAAAAGTGTCAGTTTCTACTCCTGATGTTTGGCATAGTGATATCTTTTCTATCCTCTATATAGTAGAAGTGCTTCCCCAGAACCAGTAAAACCAGTGTAGTGTTCCACATCTCAGGGATTAATCAAGGGTGCATGATATTCTACCTAACAGTTGATAATAATTTGTATAAAAGTTTTTGTTTGTGCTTGTAGTTGCTGTGGATGTTCAGACAGGGTCTTATTACCTAGTTCAGTCTGGCCTTGAAATCACTGGTTGCAGAAATACTTTACTTACACAAAGAAGATAGAACAAGATCAGCTTTAAATCATTTATGCCCCAAAACCAGAGAAAAATCAAACTAAAAAGAGAACTACAGACCAGTGAATATAGATGCAAAAATCCTCAATGTAATGCTAGCAAACAGAATGCAGCAAACCATCAAGAAGATTATACAGTGCAACCAAGTGGAATTCATCCTAGGAATGAATGTAGGAATGAATGTAGG